TTTAGGTTTGCTTCAGGTTTTTTTATACCACTCATAAGGAATTGCTGCAGAATTCCCCACCACAGGCTGTGACTGCAGCACCAGCTCAAGACTAAAGAGCATCCCTTGTACCTGACTAAAATCTTATCTTCCCTGGGCTGGTGCTCCCAAATTTCCACTGCTTGTGTTAAAACCCAAAATAATCCTGAAGGCTCCACAGCCAGGTAAAGGCACAGAGCAGAACTGCAAGGGAAGGAAGGAAACGAAGCAGTTGGTGTTAATTATGCAAAACAAGATGTGACTCCAAGGATGTGAGTAATGTCTGGATACAGCAACAGGTGCCTGATAAGAGAGGAGGAAGCCCAGACCTTTCATCTGCACCGCAGAAGCAGCAGAGATAACAATTCTCAGCCACCCCCAGGGCAGTTTGCAGAGTTTATGAGGTGATTTCATAACAGGAGGGGAAGTGCTGCCTGTGTCAGGGTCTGGCTGCCAGGGAGATGCCCCTGCTGCGTGCCAGGGCATTTCAAGGCAGCAAAATAAAGCTGGGGAACCCTTGCATGGAGTGTCCGTGCATGGATGAGGCCAGCAGTGCCTCCCACCCACAGGAGATCCAGCAAGGTGACATCCAGCCATTCCTTCCTGGGTTCCAGCACCCGGCTTCTCTCTTGCTGCGATCCAGAGGGAACTCCTGAGAGGTTTCCCAGGGAGCCAGAGCAGCTCCCGTGCTCCCGGATTCTGCCCATCCCACCCCCCCAGCCCTGGGAGATTGCACCCCACAGCTCAGCAGGCACTGCTGGCTCCTGCCTGGCACCTCTTTTGTGTCCCCTGCTTTCTGCCTGGCATCTCGGCACGTTCCCATTTCAGGCTGTGCCCCGGAGCCCACGATCCCACTGTTTTCCCCACATTTCTGTGATTCCACACCAGCCCCCTCTCGCTCATCTCCATGGCAGAGCAGCTCAGTAACTGCTGGTTGCAATGCTCAAGGGGAGGAGAATTCCTATAGCAACATCCAAACAAATTTCTCTGACTTATGTATGACAAATATTTGGCACGATCCACCAGCACTTATCAGTAGGACTAATCCTTCCTACCCTGCCTATGGCTGAAGGCATCAGAGGCATCAAACAAATCAGGAATATGGGATGCTGCCCCAGAGGGATTTGGCAGCAATGCATTTCCATGCAAGGGGCATCCTGTGTCAGTGGATTAAAAGAAACATTCCATTTTCCAGGTTTTATCAATTATTTCTCAGAGGTGATAAAATCTGAAATTCTCATTTTTCATTTTTAATAGGAAAATTAAATCTACAGTTTCCATCCTTATAACATGCATGGCAAAGATCAAGTAAGTAATGAGGAGGAAAAGTTTCAGCTCCTTCTATCACCAAGAGATGGCAAAAACACCCATGTGGGCATCTTTTGGTTCTGAAAACCAAGCCAAGGCTACAAACAGAAGGCTCCTCCAGAACAACCTGCACCCACTGCCAGCAAATGAGAAAATTCCCCAGGCGGGATCAGCTGAGACAGGGAAGCAGCTCCTTCCCCACGCCGAGTCACCGAGGGCTCCTCCAGCCGGAAAGGATTTGGAGGAACACGAAAACCTCGGCAGATAAAGTCTCCACATCTGCTCTTGATCCAGCTCAAAGACAGCAGAACGCCAAGTGCCCGGGATTTGAGCAGAGCACGGCTCCACATCCAGAACGCCTCTGAAGCCCGAGCTACGCGTTCCCCAGGGGGTTGCACTTTCACTTTCCTAAATTGCCTGCATATTTGCTTTTTTCTGATGGCAGATTAGGAACCATGCATTTCCTTAAACCGCCAGCTTTGGGCCAAGACACACACGCCCTGCCTGGAGCTGTGCCAGCCCACACAGCAGAGGCAGAGCTGGAGAACCACGTCCCAGTGTGAGCTGCTCCAAGGGGAGCCCAGCAGCCTCTGGCTGCCAGGCACTCACACAGCCCCAGCTCTCCAGGCCAGGCAGGCTGCTCCCAGGATGGACAAGAACTAAATTTAAAAACTTCAGAGGCAATGCAAGTGTGGCAGCGCCACGGTTCATCCCGGAGAAGAAATCACGATCAAAAAATCTGTAGCCATTTCAGGGTTTAAATGAGCATGAAATGAGCGAGCAATTAATTTCCTGCACGAGGAAGGAGTGCAGAGTTCAGTATCAGCAGCACTGCCAACATGTATAAACTTATTACATGTCCTGGGAGAAGTGGTATTTCCCTTAGAGCCTCAGCCTCCAGAATCCCACAATGATAACACAACGCTCCTCCCTGGCACTGCAGCAGCCCCAAACCTCCTCCCCACAGGCACAAGCTGCTTTTTCCAGCAGCACGAGGAGATTTGGGAAGCAGAGCATCAGCAGAGGTGGGGAGACAGCATCCCTCCTTCCCTGCTCATCCCAGCTCAGCAGTGCAGGCGTCTCCAGCTCCCCCTGTTTGCAGAGGGACTCCAGGAATGTCCAGAGTGCAGAGCATCCACCACCCTCACCCTGGGCTTTTGCCCCAGTGACCCCCAGCCCAGCTTCTGCATCCTGCCCCAGAGCCAGAGCAGAGCCCACTGGTACAAACGGGAACAGCAGCTTGGAGGAATCCAGACACAATTCCAAAACCCACACAAAATTCCAAAATCCACACACAACCCCAAACCCCAAGCCTTGCATGCCTGAGCATAGCAGCCAGGTTAAGATCTAGCAAGAAACACCTTTGTCCATAGGGGAGAATTAGTCAAATAATGTTTTCAATCCGTTTTAAGGAAGAGGTGAATTAGCTCCAAGATTTACAATCTCATAATTCTCTGCTTCAAAAGGTTTCATCAATCCACAGCCACACCAGCAGCACTCCCAGTTTTCTCCTCCTAGAACCACACAGCCAGACCCCATTTCCTCTTCACTCCTTCACACATGGATAATAATTTTTGTTTCCTCTTTTCCGTTTTATTGCTGGGGGGTTTCAGGAGGGCAGGGGCTGTGCCTGGGGCTGCTGTGGGGTTGCAGCCTCAGGCAGCACAGAGCAGCTCTGCAGGCGGCCGGGGGCTCGTAGGGAGATGCTCAGTGCACTGCAACAAAGAACTTCCCCCGGGTATTGTGCCCGTGGCCCTGGAACACAGAACTCGGCATTCAGAGATAAAAGCCTTGAATTCAGAGGCGCTTGACTCTCCCACTGCTGCAGCGTTACAGAACACTGGCAGCACTCAAATCAAGGTGCAGAATTTTACCCTGTGCCAGTGTTGCAAAATGATGGGATCAGAGATTTTTCTGTGCTCAGGAATTTGTGTCTCTCAGCTTCAGGCTGGTTTCCAGCACTAAATACAACACGATGATATTTTTTCATTTTTTTCTTCTACACAAGCTTTTTTTTAAATTGCATTTTCTTCCATTATCTCTTTATTTGCCAATTTCCAAAATCATAGACATCGAATTTCTCTTGCCTGTCCTTCCAGCAGTATTTCACTGCAAAGAACACAACCAGTAACAAAGCAACACTTTTACCAACCACCTTCTATTTCTTTTCAAAAGCACCCATCTGATAAATTTGAAGGCCAGTAAGATTTTACGCAACCTTCTGGAAAAGCTGTTCTTTAGGGAGTCTCCCTCTTCCGTCCTTTCCTTGTTAAATTGCATTTGCCCGTGACCCGTGACACGGCTCCCACTCGGAAACGTCTCTGCCCTCGGAGACAAACACACCTAAGAAAATGCTCAGCCTCAGAGCACAGCTCTCGGAGGGAGAGAGAAATCTCCCCCGTTTTGTATCTGCGGTAACATACACTGTTTGTATTAGCACTACGTAAATAAACAACGGGGGCTTTTTCAGCGTCGTGCAAGCTTTGAAATATATACGCCATAAACACGGCAGGAAATGAGCAGGGCCTTGCAGGTTTGGACCCTGCAGATATTAAAATCCATCATTAAATGCGTTTTCAGGAAAGCAACCTGGCTGGGAGCTCCTGGGGGAGCCCCACCTGCAGCCGCTGCTGGGAGCGCAGATTGCGCCGGTGCCGAGCGGAGCCGCGCTCGCAGCTCCCAGGGAAGCGGGAGAGCAGCAGGGAGGGTGGAGAGTCCGGCCCGAGGTCCCGAGTACTGGGACAGGCTCTGCCCGAAAAGCCGAACGGGGGCAGAACTGCGGAGAGCAGCGCATCAATGGCCTCACGTCCATGAAACGGGAGCGGCCGCCGGCGCTCGGTGGGTGCGGGGAACCTGCGCAGCTCCAGCCCACCTCCAATGCTCCTCGGGAGAGAAGAGCCATGAAAGAAACCCACAGCTCGCACATACAACACGCAGGGACGGGGATTTGTGCATTTTCACCCAGATACTGCCCCGAGCCGCCGGGCACAGGCGGTGCTGCAGCTCAAGGTACGAGCGGCAGCTCCCAGCGCCGGCAAAGGCAGCGGAGCGCTGGAGGGGAAGCGCTGCCATCGTTCCGCTCAGGGGCACACACCCCAAAACCGGAGCCCAACGTGTCCCCGTCCCCCCCCCGAAGCGCTGCCCGAGGGGCCGGGGGTCCCTCCCGGCTCCTCCCGGGGATGGAGCCCGCAGGGTGGGGGGTTCGGGAGCGCCGTGCCCCCCGCCCCCGCCGTTACCTCCAGCCCCGGGAGGGGGGCGCGGTGCATGCGCAGCTGCCGCTGCCCTTCATTCATAAAAAAAAAAAAAAAAAAAAAAAAAAAAAAAAAAAAAAAGGGGGGGAAAAAAAAAAAAAAAAAAAAAAGAAAAAGAAAAAAAAGAACCCCGGGAACCGCATCCGCGCTCCCCTCCAGCCCCCATTCATAAAAGGCAGCGGAGCATGCGCGCTGCCGCCGCGGTGCCCACCCATTCATAGAGTCGGGCGGCGGCGCATGCGCACGAGCGGCCGCTGCCCTCCCATTCATAAAATAGCCATTTTCCCAGGCAGGCGGGTGCAGCGCCGCTGACAGCGCCGCGCTCGCAGGTCCCTGCCCGCAGCTCCAGCCGCTCCTGCCAGCGTTCTCCCAGGTCCGGCCCCCTCGTCCGCCTCGCATTTGGGATTAACTCGCCCATGGAGAGATGGTCTTAGCTGAATTATTTAAAGTAAGTACGAGATCGGTGCTTGCGAGCAATTGTTAAAATGTTTTAAGTAGAAAAAGGCAAAGCCTGCTCCCCGAGGGAAAATCCTGCGCTCGTTCTAGATGTGTTCGGCTGCTCCTTACAGATCGCTGATCACGAGCATATTTCTGGCCGTGACTTTTCTAACAGTGATTATCTATAATGATGTACAGTGGAGAGCTGCCTGGTGCTTCCCAGCCTAAAAGAGACTTGGCATTCTGGAGAAATATCCTGTTTCTTGCAGAATTTCCATTTGTGTCCCTGCGTCTCTGATTTATACCTCTTTTCTGCCTTCTCCCATCAACATCTGCATTTGCTGTACATATATGGCAGGCAGGTTTCAGCACACTTGGGTCGGGTTTGTTTGCAGGCTTTTACAGCAGAATAAGTGGCTTTTTTTTCCTGCTGATGGGATGTCTTCTCCTTCATCCCTTCTTCCTTCCCCGAAAAGGAGCATAAATACATGGTCACCTGGGCTGACAAGTCAGAATTGGATCTTTCTTGCTTTGGAATGGATTATCCGCATTTCCTCTCTTTTCCAAAACCTTGTCTTGTGAGTGTCAAGTAGTTTTTAGCTGTCTCCATAATAGGACACTTCAGAAATCAGCCACTCATGTGTCAGACCTTTCCTGCATGAGCTTTGCTCTTCATTTTATTTCATACAAGTCTTTTTTCCATTTTTTTGGCCTCAGTGCCTTATTCCATCCCTGCTCTTCCCTGTCTTGCTGTACACTTGCTTTAAATCTGGATGGATGCTGTGTTTTAAAGGCTAGCTGAGTAATACAAATGTGTACCTGGAATAACTTCATCTAATATATGAAATATTTTATATATGGAGGGAAAACCTGTGCTGGCTGCTCCTTCCTCCCAACTGCGTAGCAAAGATAAGCCAGGATTTTATTTTCTGGTACCAGTCCTGGCGTCACAGGAGAAAGACAAGCCTAGAGACGACATGTTCTGAAAATTCATTATCAGGAGGGGAATGGAAAAAGCAGAAAGGGGCATAGGAAAGGCACAAAGGTCTTAGAGGAAAGCAGGACTGGGAATGCAGACCTTGGAAATGGCAGTGCAAAGGAATATCACGGGGGGAAAGGCTTCCCTCTTTTACCTCCAGTTCCCAAGGGTCTGATTTCTTCATTTCAACCTTTTATAGCCCCAAGTTTTTCTTTAAAGGGTGAAGGAGAAAAGCATCCCCTTGCATTATCCAGAGTGGAAAAGGCACGTTCTAGATCCTTTAAAACTTCTTCAGCTGCTGCCTTTCCTCCATGCCATGCCAAGGGGACAGCATGGAGAGAAATTGCTGTTTAATTAGGTGAAGGGAAACGCAGCTTTCCCAATATTAAAGCTTCCCCTTCTCTGCCTTTATTTTGGGTTCAAGAATAAAGCTCCAATTTGTGCACGGAATCACAATGATCCTGATGACTGGCTTCCCCCTTGTCCATATAAAAATGAATGATAGCAGGAGGAGGGGTTGTTCTCAGTTATTGGAACCCCACTGGGGATGTCTCGTTGATAAATGTGCCCTTTTTCCATGGGCTACTGTGTTTTCCCCCTTGCTGGAAGGGACTCTATATTGCGATTATAAAATTAAAAGGACCATTTCTGAATACTGCAGTCCTTTTGAAATTCTCCATGAGGTATGTGCAAGGGAGAAATTATTTGTTCTCCTCCTAAAACAGCAAAACAAAAGCTGTTTTCCTGGAATCATGACTAATTCCCAAATCGTACTGGGAAATGGAACATCTCAAAAAGCAATTCCTATCCCCCACTCAAAAAAAATTCTGTCCTCAGACTTCGGTGAAATAAAATTCACATCCCTTACAACACTACAGCAATAATCAATAACCAGTTCTGACAGTTTTCAAAAAATTAAATGTGAAAGAAAAAAAATTAATTCATCATATTGCTATACAACTTTCCAGCTTCAGCCCAGTAGTAAAATCTGTGTTTTTATAGGCAAACAGTTGCACAAGTGTTGTGGTTTTTTTATCCTTTTTTCGATGAAATACAATGTATTTCCTCAAGAAAATCTACAATCCTTCTAATAAGGTCATCATTTAGTACCATTAGCTTAACAGATCATATTTGAGCTTCGTTTTCTGACCTTAAAAGAAATGTTTTTGTCCAGTTAAAGGCTTTGACTGAGAAATTCAAGTCCCCAGAGATCTGAATGCTAGTGGGCCAAAATGTGCTTTATTCACTCGCACCATAGGAACAGACTTTAGCTGGACAGAGACAGCTTCTTGGAAGTCTACAGGTCTCATTTCCCAGCTCCTGAATTTCCACGCTCTGGCAAGAATTTAGTGTCTCATTTTAAAAATGGCAGGTTTCCCTAATAAGCTTTCTCTTTTTTTTTTTTTTTTTTTTTCCTGCCTTATTACTTGTAGAGAAGATTCTAGCTGGCCTTAGCTAGATAAGGCTGCTAAGGAGGGGAACAAAAAGAATGAATGTCAATATTTTGTTAATATTAAAATACACTTCAGGGGAAAAATGTATTTTTTTTTTTTCCTTTTTTCGAAGCATTTACAGCTCGACTCAAACCCAGACAGCTCAACTCAGTCTTAATGAACTCCAACCTTATGAATAATTCTTAATCCCACATTAAAAACATGTGCTTGCTGCAAGGTCTCCTTTAACTACCTCTGAGTGTAGTCTTCCTCATTAAAAGCTTTAATTGAACCCTTTGGCTTGCACCAGCAGCAGTGTGTCCCTTGTCACTGCTGGCAGGCCTGGACAAGAGCATGTCCTCAACCCCAAACAAAGGCAGGGGCAGAATTTGTTCCCTTGTCTCCAGCTCCTCCTCTGCTGGGCCTTGGGGAGCAAATCCTTTATTGATCACGAATCCTTTTGTGATCAATGAAGGATTTGTGATCAATAATCTTTTCTTGATCACTTGGGTGGGAGCAAGCCCAGTCCCCTCAGCATCCCTGTCCTGTCCCCTCAGCATCCCTGCCCTGCCCAACATTTTTAGAGGAGCTTTTTAACCAAACCAGAGGAGACAGAGTGGTGGTGACAGATCAGATTTGTCACCTCCATTCCGAGCTGTGTTGCTTTGCACAGGCCTTGAAATGTATGTGCCCACCCCTGGCATGATCCTGCTTCCAAGTGTATGGCTATCAATTATGATCATTTCCTGTATTAAGACTAAATACTCTGTGCTTTTCTTGTTTTCTTCCTCTTGCACTGTATTTTCAGAAATTCCTGTGTCCCATCCAGCAAAGAAAATAAACCAATTTCTGCAGTGCATTTACTGCAGCTATTGCTGTCTCTGTGTCCCTGTTAATGGGTGACTGTCACAACTCTCCCAGAGGATAATTCAACTTTTGCATTGATAATGGAGAACAGAACGGTTTGGAGTGGAAGGGACCTTAAATCTCATCTCATTCCACCCCTGCCATGGCAGGGACACCTTCCACCATCCCAGGCTGCTCCAAACCCCAATGTCCAACCTGGCCTTGGGCACTGCCAGGGATCCAGGGGCAGCCCCAGCTGCTCTGGGCTGTGCCAGGGCCTCTCCACCCTCACAATTCCTTCCTAAAATTCAATCTAACCCAGGTCTATATCAGTAACCAAGAGAAGCTGTGATCCCTTTGCAGGTGCCAAGATTCAGAGCTGTCTGGTCTGACCCAAAGCAGATCCCCAAATGAGCAGCTCAGCTCTTACCCAGTCCCAGTGCAGGGCTCAGCTTTCATCCATCCATGGCAATTCCTCCTTCCCTTCTTCACAAAAGCTTCTGATGCTTCAGTAGTTGGAAAATTCTTGGAAACCTGTGATTGAAAGTTCATGTTGAAGTATCAAATTTGCTTTATTCTGTTTACAGTTGAACTTGATGATCCCAAAAGTCTTTTCCAACCTTAACAATTCTATTACAAGAAGGTGGCTTTTTGTGCACCAGTGCTCTCCATGCCATTAGAACCATTTTAATTATAAGATATATAATATATAGAATGGTCCCAGAGGTGGCCACCAGCCCCTGGCAAAGGGCAGCATGGCACCACTGGCAGGGTCAGCAGCTCCCTGATGTTCCAGGGCACACCGGGGATGTCACAGGACATGGAGAGGGACAATCCAGTGCCAACAACCCCAGCAGAAATCTTGGTTTGCTGAGGCAAACTGCTCTTCCTGCCACCGTGCTGTCAGACACAACAGAAGGGACAGGCTGCTCGTGAGGTGCAATTAAGGTGTAATTAATTAGACAGAGATAAGTGGCTCCTGATCTGGTGCACGCAGCTGGCAAAGGACAGAAGGGGTTTGGTGGCTGCATCACTTCCCTGCCCTCCCCAGGGGTTTCTCTCAGCAAACACACCCCAAGCAGCACATCTGGGGCTTTTTGGTTTTCTGGGATATTTGAGATTCCCCCTTTGGACATTTCCACGGCAGCATCCCGTGTCCAAAAAGGGTTGGTTTATAAAGATGTTTTAGAAACTGTGGCACCTCTGCTGGCTGCAGAGGAGGAGCTCATGGAAGCTTTTCCCATTTTCCTGCTGGCTGCACTGGGGATGTGGCAGCCCAGGATTGCTTCCACATGGGACCCTCCTCCAGATTTAAATCCCTTCTCCTCGTTATTCTTTCATTACCACAAACATCTCGAATATTGTTAAATATGTGAGAAAGAACTTATTAAAATTGCTAACCAAAGGGTGACTCAGATAGGAACATTATATATTTCTGCACTCACTGGATTTTTAAGTCAAGATCCATTTTATTTTTCAGTAACTTTGTTGTCCAACTCTGCTCTGAAAATAAAGATATTAGAACCTTATTATTTCAAAACTTGTTCTGAAGCCATTAATGAGAACGAGTTTTCCTGAGGGTTTAAGTGACTTTCTCATGGAATTGCCTACAAGACAAAGCTTTCTCTGAAATGATGTAGGCAAATCCAAAATCCTATTAAAACATAAAATGCCTTTTGTTTTAATTTAAGCTGACTTCAAAATCCTACAAAACTTTTGAGTCTGAAATAATACCAAAACCCTTTACAATAACAGTCGGTTTCCTACAACTTTAGGACTTGCAATTACCCAGTAGAACAGTAATTTCAGATTGGCCATATCTTGATGAAGAGATGGAACAAACACTGCAACACGTGTATGAACTTGACTTTTGAGTCCAATTTTACTCCCTTGGAAAGAAGTATATTTTAACTTGAAAATTGTATGTGGTGAGTGACTGCACGGTCATGGGGGAAGAGAAATTTTTCTCTACATGGGAGTTTGCTGCCTTGAAAAGAACTTCATTGTTTCCTCCAAAGAATGAAAAATTCCCTATGTAAGAACATAGCCATGAATTTTTCTTCCTGTTGTCTACTTCGAGAAAATATCTGTACAGTTGCAACCAATGAACTTGTGCCTGTGTTAATGCTGTAATACATCTGTAATTGCCTATGATCAAAAACTAATTAATTTTGTGTGCTGTATGGCTTTTTTTCCTCAATTGAAATGCAATTTACAGTCAGGATTAGTGCAGTGGACAACAAAAATCCCTAAGGTTACACACTTCTTGTCCTTTTTCAAGGTCTAAAGTTCTGCCAGGTTACCCCAAATATTAACTTTGATTTGAGATCTGGGCTGGGATAAGCTTTATAAATTCAGTTTATATATTCATTTATATATTCAGATAGCAGTGCTGCTGCTGAAGGCAATGTTATCCTTGGGAGCAAACACCCCACGTGTGTGGTGGGTTTTGGGGGGGCAGGTGAAGGAGATGCTGCCCTGCTCTGGGTACACATCCAGCAGAAAAAGTCAAGTTGTGATGTCCTGGAGCATCACCCAGGGAAGTCACGAGGCCCCATCAGGCACATCCCAGCCTCCACAGCAGCATTCTGCTTTGTGATTTCCTTCTGCCCCACCACAAATCCTTAACCTGAGGATTTTCTTTTCTGGATTCCTCTTTGCCAGGACAGGTGGAGCAGTGTGAGCCCCCACAGCTCCAGGGTCCCTCCGTGACCCCTCCCCTGTCCTGGGACACGAACACCTGAGGGAAAGGTGCTCACAGCACACAGACCAGCACTGGGGCAGCTGCAGCAGGGGATGGTGCCAGGGCTGTCACTGGGCAGGTGCCAGGGGACAGGAGCCTCCTGGCAGGATGAACAGCAGCCTCTGAGCCCAGCACTCGAGGTGTGTGACCTGGATCTGTCACCAGAGATCTCCCTGCACTGCTGGAACTGCTGGGGACAAGGCCAGCAGCAGCAGTGTAGTCATGGTCCTTGGAAAATTCCATAAATATCAGAAACGTCTGTCTGTTAAGAGTGGCATGGAAGGGGAGAGCAGTTCACTGTGGAAACCTTCTCTGGAAAGAGAGGGCAAGGCAAAAAATGAAGGACCACGTGTCCAACCACCAAAACCTGTCAGGGTGCAAAAGTGTGGTGGCTTAAAGGTGATCTTGAGCCAGAGGGACATTGTGTCCAGGGCAGGGCTCTGGGAACTGGGAGAGCCAGCTCTCATTTGGCTGTTTTTCCCTCCACAGGTTTTATCCAAATAGATCCTGTACCCAGATATCTGCAGGGTCTCTGAGTTCACCATGTCAGGCTTCCCTTCCCCTTGTCCTGCAGAAATAGTTTGTCTATGAAAAAGAATTTGAAGTTGTATTACAGCAAAAAAAGAGGATGAAAAACTTCTATCATTAACTCTCCTGACGTGTGGGTCCATCTCCTTGCTGTGGTAATTAACTGAAATCTTAATTAGCATTATCTCAGATAAGCCATCTTTAACATCTGCCTGCATGAGGCCCCGTCTGTGCACGGGGGGTGTTTTAGGAGTGGCCTGGCTCTAATCCTTCCCCAAATTAATGCGGTGACACCATTTCTGTGTGATGGCATCACTGGCCCTGGACCGTGGCAGAGTCAATGTGAAGCCTGGGTGCCACCCTGGGCACGGGTGACACGCTGGGGACATGCACCAGCTCAGTGCCTGGGCTGAGCAGCTCTGCTCCACACCTTCCAATGGTTCTGCACGGATGCCATGGAAATCTGGTGAATGGAGCAGATTCCTGGGAGTTGGTAACGAGTGGCAGTGGGCAGAGAGATGCCCAAGGCAGGGCTGAGGAGGAGCTCAACACCCTGCAGCACTGCCACCATTTCCTCCAGCTACCTTCCATCTAAGATCAGCTCTGCTGCTCTTACTCTTGGCAACCAAAACAGCTGCATCTCTCTCCTTAAAAAAAAAAACAAAAAAATCAAACCCACACTGGAATCAAAGTCTCCCTGCAAATGTAACACGCAGCCAATACAGAACTGATGATTTTGCTAAACTCTGACTCGCAGCAAATACTTTTTATATCATGACACTGGATGCTGATGCACAAAAGAAAATCAAGTTCTTTTCCCTCTGCACGCCCCATAGTTGTCAGAATCATTGCTTCTCTTTGTTTTTTACATACAGTAACTAGGAAGAGATGCTTTATAAACTCTCTCGTTCCTCCAGTCAGGATGTCAACGAGCTATGAATAATGAAATAAAAAAGAAAAAAAAAAATCCAAATGAATGGCTAAGACCCAGCAGAGAATTTTAACTGGGGAAGAGAAGCAGCATAAGGGCTGCATGACAATAATCATCATTACTGCTAATAAAGCATTTCTTCCTGCTGCTGTGGGGCAGGGGACAAAGGGGACCCGGAATGTGCCGTCCTGCCCACGGGCTCAGCCCTCCCTCCCACTGATCCTGGCACAACTGGCACTTCTCCAACCCCAAATGCCAAGTGATCCATCAAAGCAACGATTTACAAATAGAAGAGTGGACTCTGGTGGCATTTTTCAGGGGGTGAAAATGAGCTTCCCCTTCTTCTTCCAAGGATGTGGAATCGGTTCTTGCTCCGATTTTTGAGGTGTCCTGTTGGTTTTAGGGGAGATGTGCTCTTGCAGTGCACGCACATTTACACTTCTCATCCATTATTTGGTTGTAGTTGGATGCATTTTTTTTCCTTTTTCCCACTGCTGTGACATTAAAGTCATAGAATCACAGACTCATTTAGGTTGGGAAAGACCTTTAGGATCACCGAGCCCAGCTGTTAAACCAGAGCTGCCAAGTCCAAATCTTTCACGCTGCTGCAGAAGGTTAATTTGTTTGTTGAACACAAAAAACTGGCAATGCCTTAGGCTGTTCACTACTTCTTTTTTCTTGATACCAGCAGCTTTTCCCCTCCTGCGACCGAAGCTTTACTCACCCCTTCTTTCAACTGATCTCCAGCATTATATTATTTATGAATAAAGGTCACCCCGTGAGGAAATGGCACATCTACTAGAAAACAATGTGCACTTTCTAAATTTGAACTGACTCGTTTCCGTTCTTTGATTTAAGTTTAGTTACTTCCTGTGGTTTCTTATCCTACGCCACTGCTGAATCTTTGGATTGACTCCAGGATAAATTGCACTCTTTCAATGAAATTAGAAACTGCGGCACTGACGGCTCAGCCAGAGCGGCTGGTAAACAGCACTTCAGCTAAATATTAGTGCACTTAGTGGGCTGCACGAGTGTCTCATTACCTGTGTGAGGTGATGGATCCAGCCTGAGCTCTCCTGGGAGCTGCACCCACCCTGGTTTGCCACCAGACAAAGTGCTGAGCAAGCACTTCCACCTCCCGTGGGAGGGATAAAACCTTTGGAACCAGCAGGTCCTGACGGAGAGGGGAAACTTCCTCACCAAATTCAAGCCCTCCTCACACAGGCAGCTCCTTGGTTAGCAAGGACAGGTGCTCAGCCCCCTTTGTACCAGGCCAAGGCTTCCACAAAGCCACAATCCTGCCCCAGGCTTTTTAGGGAGCAGGGTCAATCGGGGAAAACCTCCAAAGTTTAGAGAAGTCATTTCAGGAAGTTTGCTGACAAAACCACATGTGAACGTACACCAGCAGCCTCAGGATGTGCTTTTCCTCAGTAAAACCATGAGTGGGCTCTTCAGGAGCCTGCAGTGACCACAGCCCTCCCAGGGCTGGAGCAGCTATAGATGGCCAAGGTCAGGGAGAGGGACACGGCAGCAAAGGAGGAGTGAGGCACTCTGTACCTGAGTGCTCTGCCTCCCTTGGACACAAATTGACCTTACAAGACCTTCAGCATAGCAGCCAGCCTCAGTGAGGAGCCCTTTAGGGCTGCCATTGCAGGACACCACAATAACGATGCTCTCTCTCTCTCTCCCCCACCCCTTTTCTTTCTCCTTCCCTTCCCCCAGGACCCTTAAGCACAGATTCTCCCCCGGCAGCCAGACTGAATTCTCCATGGAGCCCCGGATTCCTCACAACATCACCGTGGTCCCCAACTCCGTGATGGTGCAGCCCTTGCTGGACAGCAGGATCCCCTACGGGCGGCTGCAGCACCCGCTCACCATCCTGCCCATCGACCAGATGAAGACCACCCACATGGAGAACGACTACACCGACAACCCCAGCGCCTCCCAGGCAGCCCAGAAACGACCCCGAGCCCCCCACGAACTGGGCTTGAGCGGGCAGCACCCGCAGCGCTGCGAGCAGGATGTCACCCACCCCTGGATCTCCTTCAGCGGCCGGCCCAGCTCCATCAGCAGCAGCAGCAGCACATCCTCGGACCAGAGGCTCCTGGACCACATGGCCCCGGTGCCCGTGGCAGAGCAGTCGTCCCCGCGCGCCGTTCGCATCCAGCCCAAGGCGATCAACTGCAAACCCCTGGACACGAAGGGCCCCGTGGCTCAGGAGCTGGACAAACACTTCCTGCTGTGTGAGGCTTGTGGGAAGTGCAAGTGCAAGGAGTGTGCCCTGCCCAGGACTCTGCCATCCTGCTGGGTGTGCAACCAGGAGTGTCTGTGCTCGGCGCAGAACCTGGTCAACTACTCCACCTGCATGTGCCTGGTCAAGGGCGTCTTCTACCACTGCACCAACGAGGATGATGAGGGCACGTGTGCCGACCACCCCTGCTCCTGCTCCCAGTCCAACTGCTGTGCCCGCTGGTCCTTCATGAGCGCCCTGTCCCTGGTGCTGCCCTGCCTGCTCTGCTACCTGCCCGCCACGGGCTGCGTCAAGCTGTCCCAGAGGTGCTACGACCAGGTGAGCCGGCCCGGATGCAGGTGCAAAAACACAAACAGTGTCATTTGCAAGGCGTTGCCCGAGAGCAAAGGGGCAGAAAAGCCCTTTTAATAGTTTGGGAGGATGCTCCGTGGCTCTTTTAAATAACCTGTGTTCTGAGGAGAGCGTCAGCCTCTCGCCTTCGGAGAAAGCAGAAGAACTATTTCCACAAACTGAAGCACTTTGGGTTATTCAGGGTTTTTGGAACTGGTCGCAGTTGAAATGGATGGGGCCAAAGGAGGAATGTTAATAATGCAGAGTGAAGGCTGCAAACCCATGTACACCATGAAGTACAGCTGCTGAAAAACTCCCAGCTTGGATGGATGGCTGCTCACCAGGCCTGCACACCACAGGAACCATTAACTGCTCGCTTGGCAGGCACCAATCCCCACTCCCAGCTGCAAAAAGCTGCTTTGAATTCGGATTCAGGGCAGGCTACTTGTTTCCTGTCTCCTTCCAAACCCCAGCTTGCTCCCAGCAGCCTGTTGAAGGTGATGGGGGAGCTCCCTCCACCCTCCTTGACACCACTCCAAGGGCTGGTTGCACACAAAGTACACGTTTCTCAAAAGCTTTCTGCATCCCTCAAGGAATTTTGGACCAGAAGCGAAGCTACATTTCATTTATTGAAGGGTCTTTTGCCCTTCGGGTGTATCCCACCCCAATCCACTGGTTTGGACCCTCTTTCTAAAGCAGCAGGGCTGCTCCTCCTGGAGGAATTGCAGCAGGATGTGTTCAGGCAGTTGTACCAACACCAGGTCCTCCTGCCCGTGAGCTGATCCACAGCATCAGGTTCCACTCCATGGAATATGAACGTTCCACCCACAGAACAGCCCTGCTCCAGGAGGATGGTGGCCCTGGAGGATGGATGGTGGCCAATCCCATTTGTCCCAGGCCAGAGCAAAGGGGATGTAACTCACACCACAAAGCAAAGATGGGCAAGGTTTGTTTCTCTAAACCTCTTAAGCTCTGCTAAGAAGTCCCACAAACCTAAGTGTACGATGCACAGAGATGTATTTTTCTAGGGATCTCAATCCAGTACCTCCCCTCCTGGAACAAGCTCTTCTTTGCTCATTGAATATTAAGATTTGTTTTTGTCTTGGGGGGTGAATGGCATTTGCTTGAAGTACAGCACATTCCCCCACCCCTATTGCTGCTGTTTGACTTTTGCCTCTTCTGTACAAAAGTGTGTCTTTTTAAATGTAAAGAATGCTTTTAATGTTTATTTTAGTGTTAACACACCCTAGGGAAAGCCAGGGGAAGGAAGAGAGTGTAGTTAAGGAATGGGCCCATGATTTTCAGCATGCAAATATTGGCTCTGTCCTTGCACTCATCCTGGGGCTGGTTCTGCCTTTCCCAAGGATGCTGCAACCCTTCTCTCTTGACAACTACAAGGTGCTAAACAAGAATCTTGGTCCAAACATGCAACACTCTCATGAGTAGGTAGGTACTTGTTGCATGCAGAAAAACTGACCTAGTCTCTCTTGGTGTTTTTAATTAGAGGAGATTTCCTCAGTAAATGCACAGCAGTGACAGTGAAATGTCATCTCTAATTAGATAAGCAATAGGCAGAGCTCATGTAGCATTTCCAGGAATCCCCTTGGCCTGGTTGTGACACAGCCACGGGTTGGGGTTGGCAGGAGTGCCCTGATGGGGCTCTGGTGTCTTGGGGTTTCAGAATTCAGCTCAGCTGGATGACTTGGGGTTTAGCTCAATGGAATTGTAGATATTTATTGAATGGGGGGAGTTCAAAAAAAAGAAACAAAAAACTTTTCTATTTATAACACTTGCTAGCTTGTACATGCTGAATCATAGAAAAAAAAGGATGTAATGTCTGTTAGCAGATACCAGTTCCTATAGGGTAGCCTCATGTTAAATGTATGTGGGCACCAAGAAGCAGGTAGGGGGATCCAGAGCTGTATTTATATTATCTTGCACAAATTGAAGGGGAAAAGATAAAAGGAAAACCAACCCCAAACTAGCTGACCTGTTGGTTGAATGTATAAGATATTGTATTTAATAAGAGAAATCACTTTCCTAAGGGACAAACAAGCTAGAAAAGGCAGCAGGAGAGGCATTTACCTGCTGCCCTCCTCTGCTGGGACCACACGTGTCCAAAGGGCCTCCACCCACGGCTGCTCTGCCTTTCTGACCCTCTGTCCCTGGGGAATCTGTGCTGAAAATCCACCCTGGCAGAGCCCATGGCTTGGCTGCATGGTCCTTGTGAGCAAAGGCACCTCTGGAATGGTTGCCACTGTGCCAATCTACACTCATGTACATACCCCCAGCACCCAGCTGCATTTCCTCTCATTGTACATAGCTGTAAACTATTTCTCTGATGCTTTGTTTTCATCTCTCAGCCCTGGTGATGCCTGTCCAGCGTTGTGGATGTGTTAGAGCACGGTCAGTGTAGCACAGTGACCCCTCCTCCCCTGGCTCCCAGCCCAAGGCACGGCACAGGGAACAGCTCCACCAGGAGCCTTGGCATTCCTGCTCTTCCCATCCCAATATTCCATCCCCCCCCCTTCCCTTTGAAGGTACTTGGGTGTCCTGGCACGGCAGAGCTGTGCCACGGGCACGGTGCCCTGTCACCATGTCACCCTGTCACCATGTCACAGCTCTGCTGTCCTGCCACGCTCAGAGCCTCTGCTAATGAAGGGACAGCTGCTAATGAGCACAAACCCCTCCAGGAGCCACAGGGCTGTGCTGGGATGGTCACTGAGGCAGGAGGGCAGGGCAGGACAGGTGAGATGCTCTGCAGGAGGATGGCAGGGCACCTGCACTGCTAATAATTGCTGTGGCAAGGTCATGCCAGGCTTTGCCTCTGCCCTCACACAACAGCAAGAAGGGGGGAGCTGAGGGTGCTGGCATTGCCACCACAGCCCCAGCAGGAGCAGAGTGGCCCCAAATGACAAACACAGCATCAGCACAGCCCTGTGCCCACCGGGTGCCAGGAGCAGATCCCACATTTGGTGCTCCCTGGGCACCTGCTGTGCCACCCTGATGTGCCCTCACCCTTCCCAGCACTGGGTATTCCCTTCCCCTCCCACACTCTGACACCCTGAGAAATATTTCCCCCATCTCCTCTTACAACCCCCTCACATGTACACCCTGAAAAGTTACCACAGAAGGTTTTTCTTTGTATAGAATATTTATTTTGAAGCTCTATTTTAATAGTATTTATTTTAGAAAGTCTACTATTGTAAGAGTTCTTCTGTTTGTGAAGAAAAACAAGTACTGATGAATGTACTGATCTAGAAATTATATATATATATAAATATATATTGTTAAATATATAAATGGCTGTTGTGGTTCTTTCAAAAAAAAATTCCCAAGAATGTTTATAGCAATTATTCTAAAAATACAAGCAGAGGATAGCCCAGAATTGGTTCTTTGATGCTGTCCAGCCCTGCCAAGGATCTCAGGGTGATGCTGGGGTTACTCTGCCCCACAGCCTGGCACTTGAGGGGCTCATCAATTAATTATCCCTCAAATTATCTGTGGAGGGAAGAGCCAGCAGCTGAGGGAGGAGGGGTGCCCTGCTCTGTGAATTTGTAGGAGCAATCCTCCCCTTCCCTACACCTCTAAAATAAACCAGCCTGGAAATGAGAGGCTGCTCCTTCCACGGGGCTCAGCCCTCGGTGTGCCAGGGGGACACTCATGGAAGAGAACCAAGCACAAAATCCCCACCATCATTTCAGACCCAATTCCAGCCCTGCTGCTCCTTTCCAGTTCTGCAGTTCCACAGCACAACAGCCCCACTGGGGCCACGGGTGGGCACAGAGCCCACCCCAGACATGGGGGCAGCCAGAACTCCCCCCTCCTCCTTGGAAAAGGGCAAAAAGCTGCCAAGGACCAACTCCTGCTCCCTGCTCACCCCTCTGAGCCACATCCTGGGGCTCCCACCCAGCAGCACCCACCACCCTTCCTGCCCCCAGCTCCAAATGTGTCACCAGCATCACACTGGACTGCTAAAAATACAGGATCCGGGTTATTTTTCACCATTCCTGTTATTTATTTGCACACACTGTGGAGCTGTGACTCACTGGAAGCTGTGCCATGTTTTGTGTCATCACAGAGGTAACCTGAGTGTGTTACCTGGCCTGAAATAATATTATTGAAACAATAATGTTGAATTAGTCAATGGATCAGATAAAGACACAATAACTACACTGTGCAGATCACGACATCCGATGCCAAAAAATTTGCAATAAGGAAAAGATACTGAATTTGTTATGCTGGGGATGGTTTTCCTTTTTTTCTTTTTTTTTTTTTAAACAAACAGGCTGAGCCAGGATGTATAAATTTAAATCAAGAGTTTGGCAACACCAACTGATGTCTTGCACATAAAGCTTTTAAAATAACCAGCACGACACTCATGTCTCTCTGCTGGAAGCAAACCAGAGCACTCTGCTTGATTTGAGCAGTAGATGTTAGAGCAATATTTTTTAAATCTATCAGAATTATCAGCTGCTTTTTTTTTTTTTTTAAATCCTTTTTTACATCATTTTCAGTTACTGACTCTCAAAAGGAAACCAAGTCCACAAGCACAGGCTGTAGAATGCACCATTTCCCAGTAATAAATCATTTCTCCCACTGGGATTAGTGGGGTGTGAATGGGGTGAGGGATGGAGAGCCCCATCCCTGGTCAGACACACATCTGGCTCCTCCCAGGGCTCCACAGCAGCACCCAGGGCTGGAGTTTGGCCTCTTTGTGAGTGGCACACAAATGGCCAGGACAGAGGAGATAAATTGCCTTTGCACTTTTGTTTTTACTTCCTCCCCATAACAACCTCCCGTGGGAGCTCTGAGTCCCTGGGCTCCTGCTGAGCTGTAAAACTTCAGGGATGTCCTCAGAGGGGGTCCCCACACAGGGGACACAAAGGGGACACAAATTCCCCTTTTCAGGGCAAGGGGGGAATGGCTGCAGAGGTCAAGGCAAAGCTTCCAGCAGGGTCTCAGCTCTCCTCTGGCACCAAGAGGCTCTGGGACAGAGCCCAGGGGCAGAGCTGGACACCAGGTTTGGAGGCACAAGAGGGGTCAAGAGGCTTCACAGAAATTTCTGACCATGCCCA